CATGGAGTGTTCCCAGTCAATGAGGCTCCCTCAAGTCTCAGAGTTCAGGGTTTCTATTAGAACTTCATCACAGAGGCATGTGTGATTGTTCACGTGGATCCTCTCAGTTTCAAGTGTCCAGTCCTTCCAGGGGTGACCTAAAGCCCAGACTCCAAATCACATAGTCAGTTTTCCTGGCCTGGCTAGTCCCCACCCATCTCATTATTAGACTATCCATCATGACCCAAGACACCCAGGCAAAGATATTCTATCAGGTATTAATGTTGATAGTTACCCAAGGTTAAGTTGTTGTTGTTGTTTTTTACTATATAATATGCCATTATTCTGTTATTTTTTCTGTTTTGTCTTCAAAATAACCCTAACTGGGGGGTAAGGATGTTTATTATTATAAACAAGACCTGAAAAGGAAAGACACTTGGGCAAAGTTGCACAGTCGATCCTTGACTCATGGTGCAATACTCTCTTTTTTTTAAGATGGGGTTTACCATGATGGCCAGGCTGGTCTTGAACTCCTGACCTCAGGTGATTCACCCACCTCGGCCTCGCAAAGTGCTAGGATTACAGGTGTGAGCCACCGCGCCCGGCCATGGTGCGGTGCAATACTCTTTCCACTCTCTGAGAGCCCTGAGTCCTGAGCAGAAGATGGAAGGAAGGTGTGTATATGTGTGTGCACGCACATGTGTGTTGGTGTGTGTAGATGTATATCTAATGAATTCGTGTGGCTATGTGCATGTTTCTGTGTGTATACATGTGCGTGTCTGGGTCTACACACATATTTGTATATGTGAGTGTGCATACAGTAGTGCACACCTGTGATGCCAGTTACTCAGGAGGCAGACAGTGAGGATCACTTGAATCCAGGAGTTTGAGAGAGAAGTGTCCAGAGGGTAGGGTGACCATATGTTCTGGTTTGCAAGGTACAGCTTAAAGTTATGCCTGCTGTCCTGGTGCAATTATTATATGTCCCTTTCACTCTCCAAAATGTCTGGATTTGGAATGACAAGTCACGCGATCACCCTACCAAAGAGAGAAAAATTAGCCAGACGACCCATGTGTCTATTTCAAACGGATGTAGGCTGATCCTCAGCTGTGCTCCTGCCACTGCCCACCTTTGCCTCGCCCTACCTGGCCCTGCCCAGGTCTTCAGGAAGGCTGGAGCGGAACCCTCGGCTCTTGAGCTGCTCTGCTGCCACCTGCAGGTTACATGGGGGAACCGCTTCTCCCCATCCCACTACCCACCACCCCGCCTCCCCAACCCGGCCCAGGACAGCCTTGGACTTGGCCAAAAGACATTGAGACCACGGGAAGCCCCAGCTGGGGAGTGGGCTGGACCAGGCAGTGAAGCTGATGTTACAGAATCAGACGGGCCCAGCTTAAACCAACAAAGCCAAGTTCCTTCTCTTCTTACCCAATCTTGTCCTGTCTAATTTTGTAGACAGGAAATGGAGACCAAATTCAGAACTTTCTTTGGGTAGGATTGTGGCGCACACAGCTGGAGCCTCCTGGGTGCCACTCCCCACATCTTTCTTTCCCTTAATACATCAGGATAGTGGGGAAGCAAGAGAACTTAAGCGTACTAAGCTCCTACTATGTATCGGGCACAGAGTGGGCACTTTTCTCTCCAGCCTCACAATTGATGGGAAATAGGTGATTATACAACTGGGATATAGGATCGGAGTGGGCTAGTGATGTGCTCAGTCTCTCAGCTGAAAACTGGAACCTACTACTCTTTTTGGGTCTCCAGCTAGAGCAATAGTTGCAAAATACAAAGAGCACCAAGAAAATCTAATATTGATCCATGTAAGACTGTACTGCTGGGCTAGGCGTGGTGGCTCACGCCTGTAATCCCAGCACATTGGGAGGCCGAGGCAGGTGGATCACGAGGTCAAGAAATCGAGACTATCCTGGCGAACATGGTGAAACCCCGTCTCTACTAAAAATACATTAAAGTTAGCTGGGCGTGGTGGCGCGTGCCTTTGGTCCCAGCTACTTGGGAGGCTGAGGTTGCAGTGAGCCAAGATTGCGCCACTGCACTCCAGCCTGGTGACAGAGCAAGACTCCGTCTTAAAAAAAAGAAAGACTGTATTGTTTCTGGAGTTATGTCTTGATAAAATAAATCATATTGTGAGTCATTTACACCCTGGTGAGTTTCTTCTCAGACCTTTTTCTTTTTTGAGACGGAGTTTTGCTCTTGTTACCCAGGCTGGAGGGCAATGGCGCGATCTCCGCTCATCGCAACCTCCGCCTCCTGGGTTCAGGCAATTCTCCTGCCTCAGCCTCCTGAGTAGCTGGGATTACAAGCATGTGCCACCATGCCCAGCTAATTTTTGTATTTTTAGTAGAAACGGGGTTTCACCATGTTGACCAGGATGGTCTCGATCTTTTGACCTCATGATCCACCCACCTCGGCCTCCCAAAGTGCTGGGATTGCAGGCTTGAGCCACTGTGCCTGGCCCTCTTCTCAGACCTTTTAGTTGAAGTTGGTTATGAGAGAGGATGGAGAGTGGGGAAAAGGGTCGGGGAGCACACTCTTGGACTGCACTGTTTCTTTTTTTTTTTTTGAGACCGAGTTTGGCTGTTGTTACCCAGACTAGAGTGCAATGCCACAATCTCAGGTCTCGGCAACCTCCACCTTCTGGGTTCAAGCAATTCTCCTGCCTCAGCCTCCCAAGTAACTGGGACTACAGGTGCGCACCACCATGCCCAGCTAATTTTTATATTTTTAGTAGAAACGGGGTTTCACCTTGTTGACCAGGATGGTCTTGATCTCTTGACCCCGTGATCCACCCACCTCTGCCTCCCAAAGGGCTGGGATTATAGGCGTGAGCCACCACGCCCGGCCCCAAGACTGCACTGTTTATTGTGATGCCCTGGTAGTGTGAATCATTTTAAATGGAGAGCTCTATGCATATTCCTCTGTATTCTTTGTCACCAATACCAATTCCCCAGGAAGAGCCCCAGGAGGGCTGGACTGAAGGACCTGGAGGTAATAGAAAATGTCTGGCTTTGGATTTCAGGTCAAGTTCTGCTGGTGACTTGCTGTGTAAGATCAGACAAGTCAGTTCACCTCTCTGTACTTCAGTGACCTCATTTGTAAAAGGCTAATTTGGACTAATGATTTTCTTTAGGTTTTGCCATTTTTTTTTTGGTTTTAACATTATAGTCTTCCTCCATTTTTATTCAAGTATAATTGATAAAAATTGTATTTACAGCATTCAATGTGATGTTTTGATATATGCATATGTTGTGAGGTGATTAAACAGTTAATTAACATTTCCATCACACCTCACATACTTATTTTGTGTGTGGTAAGAATGTTTAAGATCTATAATGTTTACTAGAGGTGAGAAAGCGTAAGGTGGAGGGGATAGCCAAAGACTGGCTAACAGGTTAACAGATAGAGTACATGGCTGAGTGTGATGGTTCGCACACTAGTGTGATCCTAGCACTCAGGGAGGCTGAGATGGGAGGATCACTTGAGGCCAGGAGTTCAAGACCAGCCTGGGCAGCATAGGAGATGTCTACAAAAACTTTAAAAATTAGCTAAGCATGGTGGTTCATTACATACCTGTGGTCCCAGCTACTCAAGCCCAAACTGAAGGGCAAATTAAATCAACCACAACTTTTCACATTTTGTGACTGTGACCAAGGACTGAATTATATCGTATTGTATCAACAGTACGCGCTTCCTGATTTTGACCATTGTATTATGGTTACATAAAATAATGTTGTTCTGGAAATAACACTGAAATATTTGGGAGTAAATGGGCACATCTCCAACTTAAGTGGAACAGAAAAAAAGTTGTGTGTGTACACACACACATACATACACATATATATATACACAAAGAATATGATAAAGCAATTGGGGCAAAATGTGAACAATTGGTAAACCTGGGTATTCTTTGTACTATTCTTGCAACTTCTCTGCTTGAAATTATACAAATATTAAGTTACAAAACACATTAAAAATGTCTGCTTTATCTGCCTGACAGAAGTAGATATGCAAGAATCACTTGAAGGCTAGAGCTTTGCCCCTTCCTGGCTGTCTTGAGACAGGTTCTCACTCTGTCACCTAAATTGTAATGCAAGTAGCATGATCGCAGCTCATTGCAACCTCCACCTCCAAAGCTTAGGCCACCCGCCCCCGCCCCCGCCCCCCGAGCAGCTGTACTACACTTGTGCACCACCATGCCCAGCTAATTTTCTATTTTTTTTTTTTTTTTTTTTTTGTAGAAAGGTCTTGCTATATTCCCCAAGCTGGCCTCTAACTCAGGCTCAAGCAATCCCCCTCCTGCCAGTCTCCTGAAGTGCTGGGATTACATGTGTGAGCCACCATGCCCTGCCCATTATCTTGGACACATGCCCAGCTAAGCTTGGCCTTACAACACCTCCTTCTCCCACTGGAGAAACACGAAGCCCACAGTGTTCCTCATATCCAAGGGCATTGAACCAACCAAGGGCAGCCCAGCTTCTGATGCACGCAGTTTAACTCACAGCCTCCAGAGTCCATGGGTGAGTCCAGTGTAGTCTATACAGGCTGCAGTGGGTGAGCTCTGCCTCCGGTTAGATTATCACTGATCTTCCCACACTTGTTGAGATCTTATATTGTAAGCACTGAACTCAACACTGAACAGACACAAAGACACCATTCATCATACCTCCCACTGACACAAAGTCCTACCCTAATACACATGATAATCCTGTTGTTACCTTCTCAAGGAGGGCAAGTTGGCCCAAACTGTGTGCACCCAGGAGGAGGTGAAGATCAAAGACCCAGGGAAACAGGGTGGAGCTGTCAGCAAAGCAGCTTTCCAGGCTCACACTGCACACCACTCCCCACAGTTCCAGCTTGCCCTTGCCCCTTTACTAAAAACTCTGGTGAACCACTTTCCATAGACCAGATGAAGGAGCACCCAAGCCCCAGGCAAGTGCCAGCAAGTGTCACCTTAGCTCCTGCCTTTTCCCACATACAGCTGCAAAGATGACACAGGCAAGGCTGTTGTCCCAGGTTTATTGAAAATAATACAGCATTGATTCAAACAGGTCCCCGAGGTGTTTTGAAGTTCATCCCAACTGTAGGCTGAGTGACCTGCAGGTTGGATAGACTGCCAAAATCCTGGAATGAGAGGTAAGATCTGTGAGTGGACCCCAGAAGAAACAGAAGGACTTCTTGCCCCTAGAGCCACAGCACTCTCAAAGGTCTAGGAGACCTGAAGGACCATTTACTCTAAGAACCACCAGGGACCTCAATGCTTCAACACACACCTGACTATGTGGCACCCCCACTTAAAACTCCATCTATGACTTTTACCCAACGTACCATACCATTTTTCCTCCATGTTTTCACATCCCCTTCCTGTCAATCACTCTAAAACACCATTTCTCAATCTTGCCAATGTACACCTCCTGAGATGGACATTCTTTGTTATGGGGGCTGTCGTGTGCATTGCAGAAAGTTTAGCAAGTTCCTTGGCCTCTACCCATTAGAATTTAGCAGGTATCCCCTTGCTATGACAAACAAAAATGTATCTGGACATTGCCAAATGTCTTTTAAGGCAGAATTCTATCCCTTTGAGAATACACAGTGCTACTTTCCAGGACCAGCCCCAGGTAAGACCTATCACTAATCTAATCAAACTGGGCGGGGGCGGGGAAGTACCCAGGGCACCAAGCAGAAGGGACGGAGGCAAGAACAGACCCTGCCCTCACACAAGCTCAGGCTGGTGGGGGGAGGGGCAAGAAGCCAAAGGGCCCAACTTGTTCGTAGAACTTTCCTATTCGGTTCTCAAAAACCCATTTTAGTTTCCACAAAAAAGCTGCATTCAGCACAGTGGCTATTTCAGAAGGAAAAGATCCGCAGCGGGCTGTAGTTGTACTGGTGATGTTTTTCTGAAGCTGGGAAGGTATATGGGAGTTCATTTTGCTATTATCTCTTTCAATGTCTTAAAAATTTAATGACCATAAAAATAGGAAACATGAAGTTGTTCAAAATCAGCAACCGCCCACTGTATTTTGAAGCCCATGCTTTCACCCAAGTATGTAAAAGGACTAAAATAAGCTACAGAAGAAACATCAAAGTGCAATGAAGATACTCATGAACTACCTACATACTGCCTTGTATGTATCTGGAAATGGACCACAGCTCATTTCTGAGTGGTGAGCATGGAGATACCAAATGCCACTTCAGAAGGAAAGCGAACAGAATAAGGACAGCGAGGGCTGACACAAGGGGGGGGCAACATATGCCAGCCACAAAACCAAGAACAGAAGCAGCTGAGAAGGAAAGGGCGTCCTGGAAGCCACTGGATTTGAGAATTACGATCTTGTGGTGAGCAAACTCCAATGCAAACGACTTTCACTACACCCATTATGAAAGCAGTCCAGTTTACTGGCTAGAAGTTTAGATGGGATTTCCAACTTTGCTGCCACTTACTGGAGGGTGCCCTTGGATAATAAGAACTACTGAATGGTTTTTGATCAGGGAAATACCATTTTAGGAATCCAGCAAACACTTACCAAAAGCTTCAGCATTTCCTTAGTGTCAGGATCTACTTCAATGATCTCCTGATCCAGGGCTGAGACCTAGAAGGGAACGAGGTAGGCTGAAAATACCAATCTATGAGGTCATCACTCACCTCTCCTTTCCCCAGGCTCTTAAACATGGGGAAGAGGGGCAAACAAGGATATAGCATTCATCTCACAAGGTGAGCAGTCTCTTAGAGTATTATAGACCCCAACCATCGGTTCTTCTGCTCTTACCTTCCTATTCCCACATTACATCTACTCAGTATTCAGAACATTAAGTCTGTGTTTACATCAAATAATACTATATTAGGGGCAAACAATCAAAACAAGTGAAACAGCAGCAGTCATCAAATCAACATTATTAAGGGCTCTCATGAACTACAGAACAGACTTAACTGGTTGGAAAAGAGTAGAATGGAGGATAAAAAACTAACAGGGGCCTATGGGCACCTACAGCTGATATATAATGTATGGATAAAAGGTCTCAGATTCAGCTGAAGTCCCTTTGGAAGCCAGGAACCCATAGCTTTATCATTTGAGGATTAGCCAGAAGCCCAAATATCCAGAAAGTTTACCTCAGGAACATAATTGTCTCTCCTTTCTCTCTCCTCCTCCTGCAGCTTGATGGAGATACCTCTTACTGGGCCTCTCTGAATCCGCTTCATCAGATGTGTGACATAGCTACAAAGCATACATGGCCAAAGAGAACAGTGAGAAGATGAATCAGTTCCCAGCTGGTACCCAGCACGTGTGGATGTTAAGTACCCACTTTAATTCTTTTCCAGTGAGAAGGGAGAGAACTCACTAACCTGGGACCTCCTACACATAGAAGCCCCAATGGCCTGAGCATTCCTTCCCTTTGGTTTCTCACTCTATTCAAACTCTCCTTCACTGTGATCAAGACCACCCTCCACCATAGCTTCACTACTCTTCACACATTCATTTTTTTCCTTACAATTTCAAATTCACATAACTAAGCAATTAATACATTGACTTTGGCACTACTCTTCGGGGCCATATTCGTATAAATCTCTGGAACAGTAATTGCAACTGTTAAGAACGCATTAAAAGTTGACACCTAACCGGGCGCGGTGGCCCACTTCTGTAATCGCAGCACTTTGGGAGGCCGAGGCAAGCGGATCGCATGAGGTCAGTAGTTCCAGATCCGCCTGGCCAACACGGTGACACCCCGTCTCTACTAAAAGTACTAAAATTAGCAGGGGATGGTGGCGCGCGCCTGTAGTCCCAGCTACTCGGGAGGATGAGGCAGGAGAATCACTTGAACCCGAGAGGTGGAGGTTGCAGTGAGCCCAGATCGCGCTACTGCACTCCGGCCTGGAGGACAGAGCAAGACTGTCTCAAAAAAAGGAAAAAGAAAATGTTGACACCTAAAAGCAACGTAGCTTCAAAGCAAGAGGTCTGACGATGGCTACCTTCGACCCAGTGTCACCGCGGCCAGTCATAACACAAGCCTAACTTCACAACAGAAATCCTGCACACGCAAAGTTCTAGCCCTTCTCCGGGGCACTAGGGAGGCCCAGGCTAATGAAACCACCACGGCACCGTCTCTTCCCGAGTCGGAGGGCGGCAGAGCACACAAACAGGCCGCGGGACCCCGGGTCTCCACCGTCCAGGCCCTGGAGGCCGAGAGAGCCCCAACTCACCCTGCTATCTTGTTGCGTAGCTTCTTGCTAGGGATAATGGCGATCTCCTCGCACACGCGCTTGTTCGTGTGGAAGTCGTTGCCCAGGCGCGTGTAGTACTTTTCTATGATGACCCGGGCCGCCTTCTTCACGGTTTTGGTGCGAACGCGGCCCTGCGGGTGGAGAGGACAGGATCACTCATTAGCCACCGCAAACTTCCGGGAAGAGTGCGACTCCAGGCCCCAGCGGGAGTGGTGGAGGCTGCCGGCTGCGCTGGAGGGCCCGGCTGGGCAGTACGGGCGCCAGGCTCAATGCGGAAGCCGCCGGCCCGCTGCGCTCCAGCCTGACAGGGCCCCGCGCCCGCCCGGTCCAGAGCCTTTCTTTGTGGGCTGGGGACCGCAGGAAACTGCAGATGGAGGACGATTGAAGAGGATGGCGGCCTCGGGACAAAATACCTACCATGTTGGCGGGTCCTTAGTGAAAGAGGAAACCGGAACCACAAGCGAGGCCTATTAAAGCTTAGGCCAGAGAGCCGCTTCCGGCCGGCCCGGGGGAGCCGAACCTACGTGGGAGCCACACAGCGGCCCCTGGCGGAGCGGGGCGGGAGCGGCGGCGGCGCGCCCCCACGGAGGGAGGGTTATCTGTCCCGCCCTCGACGGCTCCTCCCTTTCCGCTCCCCGCCCCCGCTTGGTTGACTTGTTCGCTTCTCTGCCCCATCTGATTTCTTTTCTTTTTTTTTTTTTTGAGACGGAGTTTCGCTCGTTACCCAGGCTGGAGTGCAATGGCGCGATCTCGGCTCACCACAACCTCCGCCTCCTGGGTTCAGGCAATTCTGCCTCAGCCTCCTGAGTAGCTGGGATTACAGGCACGCGACACCGTGCCCAGCTAATTTTTTGTATTTTTAGTAGGGACGGGGTTTCACCATGTTGACCAGGATGGTCTCGATCTCTTGACCTCGTGATCCACCCACCTCGGCCTCCCAAAGTGCTGGGATTACAGGCTTGAGCCACCGCTCCCGGCCCTGCCCCATCTGATTTCTAATCGGACCGCCCGTGTGATGTGCTCTATTCGAGGAGCGGTCCATCTCTTCCACACATGCTAGGGAGAGGAGAGGCATCCGGTCCTCGGGATGACCAAGAAAGGAAGGCGATCCAGGGCCGTGGAACAATGAGGAAGTCCGGGATAACGGCCACCCAGACCCCCAGCCAGTGCGCGGGCCAAAGACTTTAAGGCCTAACCGGGATACAGGGTGTGCCTGGGAGAGGCATATCTCATTTCTGGGTCTTTGCTCAAATGTCGCCTTATCAGAGGACTTTCCCTTCAAACTTAGGTATAACTCCCTCACTATTCCTGCTCTTGTATTTCTCAGCACTTGGCATTTGACTCGGCTTAGTTTTCTCATCTAGAGGTGAGCACCATGACAGTAAGGGTCGTTTTGTTTAGCCAATTCCCAGTGCTTGAATAGCACCTAGCATGGAGCAATCTCTCCAATATTGAAATGAAGGGCCCAAGTCACCTGCAGAGCTCTCAACACTTCAGGCACCTTCTCCACCCACCGTCTTCAGGTTGTTTCTGCCATACCCATCCCCAAACCAGGGTCTTCAGAAGCTTCCAGTGCAAGCTGCCCTGATGAGTGGCAGCCTAGGTAGGGCCCTGCCAGCTTCTTCCAACCTTGCTCCCTGGGCTGACCTAGGCCCCACACCTGACGGGAAGGCTGAGCTGGCCAGGCTGGATGAGTTAAGCAGCCCAGGGCTGTGCCTCATTCCTCAGCGCACCTTGGGTACTCCAGTCAGACTCTCAACTGATTGAGGATGGAACCTGAAGAACAGGAAACCCTCACCCCAAAAGTAACACTGGGACAAAATAAAAGGCCAGAATCTCAGAATTGCAGGAGCAAACTTCCATTCAAGCTGCAGTCAAGCCTGAAGTGAAAGATCAGGCTTTTTTTTTTTGTATTGAGACGGAGTTTCGCTCGTTACCCAAGCTGGAGTGCAATGGTGCCGTCTCGGCTCACTATAACCTCGGCCTCCTGAGTTCAAGTGACTCTCCTGCCTCAGCCTCCCAAGTAGCTGGGATTATAGGTGAGCGGCACCAGGCCTGGCTACTTTTTTGTTTGTTTAAGTAGAGACAGGGTTTCGCCATGTTGGCCAGGCTGGTCTTCAACCCTGACCCTCAGATGATCTGCCCACCTCAAAGGCCAGCCTTTTTGAGACACGGTCTTGCTCAGTTGCCCAGGATTTAGTGAAGTGATATGCTAATAGTTCACTGCCACCTCAATTTCCTGTGCTCACATGATCTTCCTGCCTCAGTCTCCCCAGTAGCTGGAAATACAGGCACACACCACCATGTCCAGCTAGTTTTTTTGTGGAGATGGGGTCTGGTCTCAAACCCCCAGGGCTCAAGCGATCCTCCTGCCGCAGCTTCCCACAGTGCTGAGATTATAAGCATGAGCCACTGTGCCCAGTTTAGCCTCTCCTTTAGTGAGGAGACTCCTCCACCCTTCCCAATAGTTCTTGCACCTCTTTCAGAAGAGAGAGCTTCACTATGCAGGGTTCCCTCTACCTCAACCTAAATTGGAGTTTCCCAAAGCATCAGTCCAACAGCTGGGCCTAGGCCAACTTGATTGAAAAACAATCAGCAGTACACCCTGTCACAAATCCTAGGAGCTTTGAGAAAGTTCAGTTGATAGGGTTCTCTGAACTGCAAAATCCCAATCACTTCCTCTCAGAAAGGAACTGGGTGATCATAGGTGGGTAGAAGAGGATGTGCAGCCTCCCAAGAAGAAATAGGCCAAGGCTTGCAGGAGAAGCTGTGAACAAGTGGCTTCTACTGGCACGTGAGCAGCTGCGCCTCCCGCATTCTCCAAGCTGGGTCTGGAGGCTGCAAGGACCCCGGAGAAGCTAAGATGTGAGGACTTTTTGTATTTGGGCTAGAAGCACCCACCCACTGGAAAGGCATCTCCAACGTATAATTGACCATGGAAGGGACCAAAGTACTCACAAGGCAGGTCTCCCACATGGTCACACTACTATCCTGGTCCAGGATCCCATCAGAGAAAATCCAAGGAAACAAGCTGTGGCTGCACGATTACCCTCTTATTCCCGACAGCCCCTTGCTCCCAGACCTCAAACAGAGACAAAACCAGAACTCTGCTGCAACGTGTTTATTATGTGCCAAAAAAACTACACCACAGCTTACTCCACACATCTGTAGGAGAGTGCAGTCTTGCCTGCATATACTACAATGAGGTAGAGACTTCACACACAGCTTCACAAAACCCACAGAGTAGCTGGGATATGCAACAATGCAACATCAGCTCAGCAGGAGGGAGGGGTTATGACACTGGTTCTTTGGCACACAGCTTCCCTAGGAGGGGCAAGTAGTTTTTGTTTTTTCTATTTTTAAAAAAAAAAAAAAGGAAAGAAAGAAAAAAGTCAAGTTTTCAAATTCCAGTAGCATTTCAGTCAACTGCAACTGTTATCTCATACGTTCCTCAAATTAAAGATATAAAGGAAGGGTACTTGCCCCTCTAAGAGAAAGGGCTCCTGTGAGCCTTCATCTGCCCCCACCAAAAAGCAGCCCTTTTTAGCTCAGTTACAAAAGAAAAAAGTCCTGTGACTTTGTGATTAAAAACTTCTATCAACCCCCCCCCACATAAGTGCAACTTAAGGAGGTGCAATAAACCATTTAAAACTATATACAACAGCCGCTCAAACACCGTTTATCCGGTCCAGTTTCAAATAAAACAAAAAATTTTTTTCTTGGTTGCAAATGCCTTGATTTGCAACTATCAGAAACAGTGACCAGCAGTCCCCCAGACACAAATTTGCTATAATGTTAAAAGCTGCCAGGAAAGAAAAAAATCTCTTGTTCCAAACGACTTAAAAACTGTTTTAAGGAGTGTAAAAAGGAACCGGTAAAAACCCTCGAGCGTAAAATATGAAATATGATTTTGGTTTAAATGAAGAGCAAAGTCTCCTTGTTGTTTACAGTAAAAAACACCAGCTGAACACTCCGTTTATGCCGTTCAGGTGGGGGTTAAATAAATGGAAAGGCACTGTATGGCAACTGCAAGAATGAAACCAATGAGACCTGCGCATCATCACCATCAGTATTGCAAGGAATGTAAAAAGCGCTTTTAATAAATAAACCTAGGTGTAGGCATCCGTGTCAGCACTTTCTGGACACGTGGTTTTTTTTTGTTTGTTTGTTTGCTTTTCATCGGCAGAATGAGGAACTAAAATCTGGGAAAACTACAGAGTCGCTTGAAGGGTAAGCCAGAGGGTCCTTGCCCTTGGCACGCCCCCTGAAAACAAAACCGGACAAAACTCATTGTGCATTAATTAGTGCAGAAACAAAGACAGATTCAGCAAGTGCAAAGGTGACTACAATTTTCCCTTGTCCTCGGGAAGCCAGCTCCCTGGTCGCCAGTGGCAGGGTGGTGCAGGCTGCTTGCCTGACCTGCCAGCTTTGGGCGCCACAGGCCACTGGGCAAGGCAGCTCCTCTAGCTGGAATCTCTGTTCTTCTGGTTCCGCATCAGGGGGCTGTGATGGCGCAGGCCCTCCATGCTGTGCCGCCAGTGCCAGCAGCTCCGGCAAAAGTACTTGAAGCAGACCTGGGATGGGAGAACAAAAAAAGGAGATACCATGTCTGTGTCAGCACCGGACACAGGAGCTGTTGCATGAGCTGCTTGCTGTGTTTGGAGAAGGGGTGAGAAACTCCTGATGGCCTCTGTGGGTTAGAAAGAAATGGACCCTAGGAGCACTCTCACCCCAACACAAAAGCCTGATTAACTATGTAACCATCCTGCTTACAGGTCCCCTTAAACATGTTGGGCTCCCAGTATGTACAGGGACCATGCTAGTTTCTCTTATTCCTTCTAACCATGACAGCTGCTCTCCTATTCCCCTGCCCTTCTCACCTCCTACAGAATAGTTGTATCACGTGGCTGCTAACATGGAGAATGTATAAAGACACTGACTACAAATTCTAATTCTAGGCAACATGCTGCCTTCTTCCCATCTCCCTTCTTCCCACTAAATGAGGAGAGGTGACTGGGTTTCTCAGTCTAGTCCCATCTCTTGCTTGTTGTGTAACCTCAGGCAAGCCACTAATCTCTGAGCAAACATCTGACTATGAAGATTATCTGTGAAAGATCCAGATCCATAAAAGCCTGCTAGAAGAGGCTGATCAGAGATACTTGTTCTCAGGCTTTACCTAACAATCCAAACTTAATTTCAAACTGTCACTTGAGAGCCTCAGTTTAACCATGTACAGAGACTCCAAATCTGAACAATGGTATAATGGCAACAATTTTTAAAATAAAATTTAAAAAGCACCCCACTAAGCATGGATGGGACTAGGTGGTATCCTAAGATACCCTTACCCTAAGACAAACTTCTCCTAACACCTGTCAAAGGATGATGCTGACTAGCAGCACTAACACCACTTGGATAGTTGTTGGAAACATGGAATCTCAGGATCAACCCGAAACCCACCAAATCAGAATATGCATTTAAACAAGATCCTCAGGTGATATATCTGCAATTAAGGTTTGAGAAGCACTGCCAAACACATCCAGATCCATGCTCCACTACCCAGAAGCAGTCAACAGAAAGCAGCCTTGCTGCTTTCTGCCTGTTGCTGACACCTGTGGGAACAGCCCAGGTGCAAATATCAAAGTAGTCTAGTAGTTCAGATGTAGAGGAGGAGGCCCTTGAGTAGAGAAAAATAAGCTTAGAAGGCCTCAGGGTTAGAGCAGCTGAGCCTGGCTCCTAGGCTGAACACACCCAGGCAGGCTTCTATCACCTACAAATAGTGGCATACTGCATAGCAACATCCCAGGCAAGAAAAGGCCAATGTCTAAAGACTCAATTCAACATGTTTTCCCAAAAGTTTTGGGTCAAGCCATCCAAAGTGTGTCACTGGTCTGACCCTCAGCAAACCTTACTTCTCCTCCTCTACACTTTCAGATACCACAAGGTACCTCAGAACTTCAACATTCCATGTCATGATCTTGGCATAACAATTTTTAATTGGCAGGGACTTCACAGACATCGGACCCACCTGATCTCGACAGAAGAAAGGACCAGGCTGAGAACTGCAGATATGACACAGAGAATCTTCCAAGTAAGGGTCAATCTGAACCTGCACAAAAGCAAGAGATGATGATG